GGCAACGATCGCAAGGGAGCCTGTGACGATGGAGATGGCTTCACACGCTGGCATATTTCGCACGTTCGGATCCAGTTGCGTACCCACTTATACATGTGGGGCCAGAAGAAGTCTCGAGACACAGCCGCGAAAGTCTTTTCGCGGCCTAAATGGCCGCCAGCAGGAGCATCGTGATACTCGTGATGATTCTTGCACGCAAATCCATGTCATTGGCAATCACCGTGCGAGGAGAATCGAATTGGTCGATGCTATACAGAAGCAAATCGCCATCTAAACTGTATCGATGAATATGGTCGCGCTTGGTACGGGATAATGCTCCCAGTGCAGCATCGCTGGGAGCACGCAGATACTCGATAATGTATGCATAATCTGAGTCACCCTTGTACGCTGCGACGATCTCATCAAATAAACACGGCTCGGGTGTAACCCGAGTTAAGTTCAGCGATACACACATTGCACATCGGTCATCATCGTCCTCGTCATCAGTAGCCTGGCGACTCAGAGCAGTCCGAGGATCGTAGTCGGGACGTCGTGACAAGGCGTCAGCGAGAATATTGGTCTTGCCTGGCTTGTAATGCACGACGAAGTTGTACTCAGAGAAGAATGAGAGCCATCGTGCCATCCGTTGGGACAGGTGTGGGCTCTTCATCGCTGTGCGCAGCGATGCATGATCGGTGTACAAAGCAAACGTACTTTCACCAAGGAGATGCACGCGAAACTTGATGAGTGCATAGCGCATCGCTAATAACTCCTTGTCGTGAACCGGATAGTTCTTCTCAGCTGGCTTCATCTGTCGCGACTGATAGCTCACGACTCGTTCACGGCCCTCATCATCAAATTGCATGAGGGCACAACCGATTGCAAAATCACTGGCGTCGCAAACCACGTGGAACGGCTTGGAATCGTCTGGTAGGACCAGGACTGGCGCTGACGCCAAGATCTTCTTTACTGCTTCGAAGGCTGCTTGGTGCTCGGGACGCCACAACCACGTGGCGTCTTTCTTCAAGAGTGACGACAAAGGCTGGATATAACCAGCATAATCCTTTGTATACTTGTGCAAATAATTAGCCAAGCCGAGCCAATGGCGCAACTCCGTAGGGTTCTTGGGCGTGGGCCAAGAACAGATGGACGACACCTTCTCTGGATCAGCTCGAACTCCCGATTTACTCACATAGAAACCTAACACCGGAATCTCCGGTGCACAAAAGACACACTTCTTGAGATTCGCGTACAACTTGTTGTCCCGCATAACTTGAAACACTTGCTTCAGGTGTTGAAGGTGAACTTGGACATCGTTGAGGTTGCCCTCGGCGCGACTATGGACGAAGATATCGTCAAAATAACTTGGGGCAAAGTTCCGAAGAGGTCTCAACACTTGGGACACAATGCGATTGAAAGTGGCCGGAGCGTTCTTCAACCCTTGTGGCATTACCAGCCACTCCCATAACATGCCACTCGGGGTGCTCACCGCGGTGAGTGGGATATCGCTCGGGCGCATCAAAATCTGGTAAAAGCCATCGGTCAAGTCGATGGCACTGAAGATGACACTACCTGACATGGAATTCAGCACCATGTCCTTCCTGGGAATTGGCGTTTGCGCAGGAATAGTGGCATCATTCAACTTATTGAACGCATGCACTATCCGCCAGCCTCCCGTAGCCTTCTTCACGCAGAAGGTTGGACTCGAATGTGGTGAGATACTCTCCCGCACATGACCCGCTTTGCGGCGGCCTTCAAAGAATGCGTCAATAGCTTCGACTTGATCTCGAGGCAACGGCCACTGCCGTCCAACTTCGACCCTGGCACAAGATCAATCTCGTGCCGAACACCGCGGTCCGCAGGAAGTTCAGCCGGGATCTTGTCCGGGAACACGTCTGCATACTCACGAGCAATGTCGTAGACGGGGTTACCAGACTCTCGCAGGGCCTCCCATGACTGTGATGCAAACCTTTCTTTACGCGCATACTTCGGCTCAGCGCTTTGAGGACGTGCCATATGCTCCTCGTTTGCCACGGTAACCACCTCGTTGGTGATTAGACACACTTGTTCCACAGTGCCTCCCTTAAGGTCACGTAGGAAATGCTTCCAGGAAAGCCCTGGAAGACTTGTAATGGAAGACGCATTACGAGGAGGACTCTCGACCTCGATATATTGGCGCCTTTGTGGACTCCCTTCCACGTACACGATAGCGTGGACACATTCCAACGCTAAATTCTCGGTGCTGTTGTCCCCATCGTGCTTCGAGTCACTACTCGAAGCTGGCGAACCGCAGTCAGGTGATAAACCATCACCCCCCTCTAGGCACTGGATGTCGTCATCCAAGAATCCGGAAACACTGGACGGGAGTACCCCAAACTCGACCGTCGACACTTGATGCGGGAGCTCCTGCTCGGCCGCCGTAAACCCATTTGAGAGTCCCTGCTCAACCACAGTATGCCCATGTGGGAACCTCGGTTCGACCACAGTGGGTGATGATGGGAACCCCGGTTCGACCATCATGCTCTCGCGTGGGGACTCCTGTCCGTCCACGTTGTACTCGTGTGGGAGCCCCTGCTCGACCACAATATGCCCATGTGGGAACCTCGGCTCGACCACAGTGGGTGGTGATGGGAACCCCGGTTCGACCATCATGCTCTCGCGTGAGGACTCCTGTCCGTCCACGTCACACTCGCTGGCGAGCTCATGCTCGTCGCCACAATGCCCTTGTGGGAGCCCCTGCTCGACCACAATAGGTGCAGATGGGAACCCCGGTTCAACCACTGCATTCACGTGCGGGAACCCCTGTTCAACCGCATTAATGACGCGCGGGAACCCCTGTTCGACCGCGTCGTCCTCGTCGTCCTCTTCGCTCTGTAGCGAGGAGTCACTGTCACTTGTGTCTCGAAGAACAGCACAAGCAGTGCAGAGAGGGCCATCGCTCGCTCTGTGCACCGCCAACGTCGTGGAATCGCGATCCACGACTGTGACGTTTGGCCAGTCACTTGGAGATACCAAGAGATGGGTAAACACTTCACTGACATCGAACTTGCGTCGACGTCTCACTGATCTGGCTAACCAGTCGATCTGGGGCTTATAACGTGCCAACCATGGCATGCCCAGTATGCAATCGAATGCATAATTCATTGCGATCACCAAGAAATCATCATTACTGCGAAAACCATCAAACGTGTACGGCAACGACACTTTGCGCCGCGATACGCGGTGTGGTTTCCCGTCAGGTAACTTGACGACGACTTGGTCAGGTCCCTCACGGACCTGAATGCTGGGAGGCAGCATCGACAAACAAGATTCACGAAAGAAATTGTTTGTTGCTCCTGAGTCCAGGAGTGCTCGCAGAGGTCGCCGGACGCCGGCGACATGTAAACTGACAATAATCAGACGTGAATCACCACTCGTAGTGGTGGCATTTAACCGTGCGCGTAGCGCAGGAGGACTGGAAGGTTGGGCTGCCATCGGGGGACCCGGACCTCCGTTCTAACCAGTAGGGCGCCCTGCACCTACTGGTCCCGACCGTTTTTTGGACGTGCGGCCGGTACAGCACCCTCATGATGGGCGTCCACTACTTGCACCGATAATGGGGCTGGCGCACGGCACTCTGCCGCGCGATGTCCTGGCTTGCGACAACGAAAGCAAACCATTGGACGCCCGGTGCGAGCATCACCTTTATGATGAAAGACACGTCGCCGGTCACCCGACGACTCAATAACGTCGATCTCAATAGGTTCTGGGCCAGAAGGCCGGGGAACGCTGACGACCGAGGGTTTGGCATATGCCTTTGTGACCCTAAAGTCTTCACGAAGTGCGATGGCGAATGCCTCTTCCAATGTGGCAGGCTCGGCGCGCTCCAGCGATAAGCGGGTTTGCCCCTCACGCATACCATCCACAAAGACATTCACCTGTGTGTACATGTCCATGGGGTGCGTGATAATACACGACGCCAGATGCCTAGCCATCTGTACGTAGTCGCGCATCGCCATTTTACCCTGTCGCATCGACAGGAATCTTGATCGCACCAGTTTCTCCTCTTGTGGTGGCTCGAAGGCAAGACGGAGATCGTCCTGGATGGTAACCAAGGTGGGAAATGCGTGCTCGTCCACAACGAGTTTACCAAGAGCCCACTCCTTGGCCTTCCCGGTGAGGCGGGAAAGAAGAAAGTTGACCTTCGCCTGTGGAGCCTCAAGAAGTCTCGAGGCGATGGCGATATCAACTTCTCGGAACCACCGGTTCAGCGATAACCGGTCCTTACCTTCTCCAGAGTAGGAGGAGGTTTCCATCTTCACGGCCTCATTACGTGAAGGGCGCGAGGGAGTTAAGCCTCGCCGGTTGGATTCGGCGAGCTCGCGTGCCATAAACTCATGTATGGCGAGACGTTGCGCGTCAGGGGTCGCTGATCTCATCAGCGACGCGACGAATGCCTCTCCCGATATCGCCGCGAGGCGATTAAGGGCATCCCACTCAACACCAGTAAGATGGGGGAAGGTCGCGTGCTCCAGAAATAAATCTGGAGCGTCAAAGTACGACGATTCGCTCATCCCAAACTCGGGCATAGGAAGGACTACAAAGTGCTACCAGGTGTAACGGGGCTAGAACGTACCGTCACTAGCTTACACGTGCGCTTGAGGAAGACTCAAGCCCAAGTATTAGGTATTAAGTAAATTTGACTCTGATTTTTATTTTGGTTTTAATTCGTACTAATTACGAAGATTTTAGTCGTAATAAATACGACAGTGTTCCCGCCTTTCGGGAACCACACAATTTCAGGTTGATTTATCATTGGTCCATATTGGGGACTTTAGGCCCAATAATAAACCAATAATAAATTACCACGCTGTGCCCGCTATTCGGGCCCAGCACCTGCCTACATATGTAATTGTTTATTTGTGTTAATGCTATATGTGTAATGTAGCCCATTACAAGAAGCATCCGTTGTTACGATGAAAGGGTGGGAAAAGTCCGGCAACTTCAGCGTCGGAGATTGCTGAAGTGCTAGTTTTAAATCGTTAAAAGCCTTGTGTTGATTCTCCCCCCAAGTCCATTGCGCATCCTTCTTGGTTAAATCGTGAAGAGGACGCGATATCCGTGCAAAATTGCAGATAAATCGCCGGTAAATATCCCGCTAGACCCAAAAAAATCAGCAATTTTTTGCGACATGTAGGCGCTCGGAATGTCGCGATTGTATTGGTTTTTCTTGGGTCGACGCGCAGACCATCTTTGGAAACCATATGTCCTAAAAATGCGATCTCCTGACGACCAAAAGCGCATTTGGAGAGACGAGCGTACAGCTTTTCCTTGCGCAACACGTCGCATACTGCGCGAACGTGAATGAGATGAGCCTCCATTGTACGGGAAAAGCTACAGGTGTCGTCGAGATACACGACAACAAATTGTCCTAGCTTATCGAACAAAGTTCGCATAAGACGTGACCAGACTCCCGGCATACCTGATAAATCCATCGGTGCGACACACCATTGATACGTTTCTTTGTGGGTCCTGGAAGTCGTGTAGGGCCGACTCGACGGTAACACTACCATTTGATGGTACCCTTGTGCGAGATCGAGAAGCGTAAAATACGTGCATCCAACCATGCGGTCAAATAGTTCTTCGATCAATGGCAGAGGAATTTTTGCCACGACGGACATGCTATTAACATAGCGGTAGTCTATTACCCATCGAATGGGGATCTTCGAATTGCCGCTTCGGAGCCATTCGGCGCGTTTGGGAAACTTTCCGGTTGCAGGATCTTTCTTTGGAATCCTAAAGATATTTGAGACCCATGGAGAGTTTGATACTTCTATCCATCCTTTTCGTATATTCTCTTCAACGAATTGTTGCAGTGCGTCCTGCTCAACCTTCGAAAGACGGAAGGGAGCACGGGAGCTCGGAATCGCATCAGCTTCATTTGCAACTCGAAGTTGACTGATCGCGTCGGAGGCATCTCGTTCAGGAGTTTTTCTGGAAAGACGTCGTTATACTCGTCCAAAAGTGGGATTAACTCCTGCGGTATTTCTGCTTGGTCGACGTTGGTTACCTTCAAGTGGTATATCTCATCATAAGATCCACATTTCAATTTCTCTTGAAAGGTAGGACCATCCACGTCTTCGAACGTCGTGTGGGTTTCTACTTAATCCTGTTGCGTACGCCAATCGATTTGGGGGTTGTACTTGGTGAACCATGGTTGACCAAATATTAAGTCGTGCGTATTCGGCAGGTCCCATTCCGTGAACTGCATCCGTGGAAACTCCATACCTTCTATATAAATGGTGTCTTCCACTCTCTTCGTGGGATGACTTGATGTCCACGTTCCATCGAAACGACGCGCTTGTACCTTCTGTTCGCTTAAAACTTTCGATGCCAGACCGGGTCTGATTAGATTTGTTGATGCACCAGAGTCGATCAAAATCTTGACGGAGTTGCCTCCAATGACACCATCACGCACTAGAAGTCGACTCTGCGTTGGCATGTCCGATTGAACGCTGCTTGATACGATGTAAATAGGTTCTGCCTCAGACTTCCGTCTGACCTCCACGGCATTGATCGTGACACGATCGTAAACAATGGATTCTTGGGCGTCCTCTTTGTCCTCATGGCTGTCCACATTGTTGACATGCTGACGATCTACATGCTGACGATAGCTTCGACCTGAACGATTGTTTCCTCTATCATTTCGTGGTTGGCGATGATTACACTGTGCGGATCGGTGATTCGGACTACCGCACTTGAAGCACAAATTTCGGCGGCGACATTCGTCTCTAGGCGGGATCTGCACGTTGCAAATGTCCATTGGCTCAGGACAATTGTTCGATCGATATCGACGACTGTTTTCGTACGACCTGTACCTTGTTTTATCGTGCGATATTCCTCGGGAATGTCACTGAGGATGAGAGCGATCAAAGTCCAATGCCACAGTAATAACTTCGGAAAGTGTTGTACAGCGACGGTACTGAACCTCCTCCCGCGTACGACCTGTAAGTCCACGTGGGAAGTACATGATTTGGTCCAACTCGCTCATTTCTCGGACTTGAGTGGCTACGTGGCGAAATTTGCACACATAATCCGGGAGATCTTCGCAATCGCGCTCTCTCATATTGTTCATATCTTCGCGCAGACGTTCTTCAAATCAGCAGGAACATATTCTCTTTCGACTTTGCTAAAGAAGTCGTCCACGTTTGTGACATACTGTTTTTGCATCATATACCACTGAGCGGCTCCTTGCTTTAGTGTCCCACCTACGACGACGATTATTTTTTGAGAAATTTCCTGACTTTTCCAGTTAACTCCTCTTGCAAAGAAGTATTGCTCCACTTGCTCCTTGTAGAGTTGGAATGATTCATCCAATCTACCTCCATACGTTGGAAGCTTCACACCCTCTAACTTGATTTCCGATAGCTGTTTCGACCTTTGGATTTGCTCAAGTAACAGCGCTTGTTTTTCCATAGTCGCAACCATAGTGTGCAACAACTGTGCATGCTGATCGGAGGTCATCGGGGTGGACATTATGGAACTAATGCAGTAACTGTGGTGGAGTGGGTTCTCAAAGTTGTATGATGAGACCCCAAACCACTCACTGTGCCGGACTGCCGACTGTCGGAGGAGGTACCCCGATGCCGCGTATGAACCTTCTCTCACCTTGTGTACCCGTCGGCTGGCGGGTTGCACTCTTCGGAGGACTTGGTGACGATGTAGATGTCTGCCTTGAGGGAGGTAGACCTGGGGGGCCTCGAGTGGATATGCTTCACTCGGTAGGCCGGTAGGTGGCCACTCGATCGACCTTGTCGAGAGTGGACATAAAGCCAAATTCTTCAGGGAGCTTGTCGTCCCTGGCCTTTTCCTTCTGTTTCAGGGGCATCAACCACCTGACCTTTACTTTGCTCCCGGACCTTGAGGTGAGGGAGACCGCTTCCGATAGCGGGTCTTGGGGGGGTGTTGCTACTCGAACGAGCTCACAGGCCAAATATATCCTGGAGCTCTATTCGCACTTGAACTTCGCTACACAACTGTCTTCGACGGGGGGACAAAATATCCCTTCCCGGAACAGTGAGTAGCTTAGAGCAAGTTCTTCTTGGGTGACGGAGTCGTGCCACGTGGGGTTCAGCTCGCACTTGTGTCGGACCACACGCCTGTCTACAACGGGGGGGGCCAAATATATCCCTTCCCCGGAACAGGCGTGTGGCCAGACTAGAGTTCCTTTACAGCGCGACGAAGACTTGCCAAGTAGATCGCAAATTGAGTAGTATTTAATATAGTCCTATCCTTTTAACTCCCTTACTCTATCCTTGCCTGAAGCTCTGATTCCTTGCGTCGACTGGTCTGATCCTTGTATTAACTGGCCAGGAGTGGCTGAACCCCGAGGGGCCGAGGTCGACCAATGAGGGACCCAGGTCGACCAATGAGGGACCCAGGTCTACCGATGAGGGACCGGGTCGACCAATGAGGGACCGGGTCGACCAATGAGGGACCTGGTCGACCAATGAGGGACCCAGGTCTACCGATGAGGGACCTGGTCGACCAATGAGGGACCCAGGTCTACCGATGAGGAACCTGTTCGACCAATGAGGGACCGGGTCGACCAATGAGGGCCATGGTCGACTCCCTTCGGTACAGGTTAAACGTTACCCTGGTAATGACCTCTCCTTTGTTTGTCTTTCGAATTCTCAGCCAACGGTCGCTTCACTCCGAGGTTCCCTTTATCTCCGGTCCCTTCTCCCTAGTCCACGGCCCCTTGTCCCTTCAATCCAACGGGACCCTGGGTTCTTCACAATTTAGGAAAGCACTTCACCACAGCCGCCCCTTGCGCTTGCTCAGCCGTACAGCGGCTTGAGCACGCGCATGTATTCCCTCGTCAATCACGAAGGGTTTTCTGCTTGCTTTATGGTTGGTAGTCCGTGGCCAACCTGGGTCACTCCAGCTGTGGTTTCAATCTTCGATACATCGAGCTGCATTCTTGAAGGACCCAGGTCTACCAGCGAGGGACCGGGTCTACCGAAGAGGGAACCAGGTATACCAACGAGGGATCGGGTCTACTGACGAGAGGCCGAGGCCGACCGATGAGGGACCGGGTATACCAACGAAGGGCCGAGGTCGACCGATGAGAGGCCGAGGTCGACCGATGAGGGGCCGAGGACGACCGATGAGGGACCCAGGTCTACCGACGAGGGACCATGGCCAATCATCCAAGGAGCTTTTGTGGTGGAGTGGATTCTCAAACAACGTAGGAGATCCACAAACACACACAGCGCCGGACTGCCGACTTACGGAGGGGGTACCCCGATACCGTGTCGTATTGGCCTTGGGTCTCACCTTGTGTACCCGTCGGCTTGGCTGGTCTTGCTCCTCGGTTGACGTAGAAGACTTAAACTTGGTCTTTGTATAAGACTTGGACTTGGTGGTCCCCGAGTGGATATACTTCACTTGGGACCGGGTTTCTTGGGCTCAATCGACTTAGTCGAGAGCGATGCACCTGGTACTATGTACCCCTTTGGTGGCTGACTGTTCTTGGTCCTTGGACCCCTTTGTGTTCTTCCCCGTAGTGAAACCGCTTCCTGTAGCGGGTCGTAGAGTGTTGACACTTACTTGACACCTCAGGCCAACTATCCTGAGGTTCAACTTGCGTTGCTTGAGTCACCTAACACCTGCTGGACGTCGGGGGGCCAAAGGGTATCCCGCCCGGAAGAGGTGTAGCGACGGAGAAGCTTAGGAGGGGCGCTTAAAGCTGCCACGTGTAATGCAAATTCGAGTGTGTTTATTTATCTTATACCTTGTATGCTTTTCTTGCCTAACCCTAACCCTTTGATTTGGAAAGTGCCACGTGCCGACTCTTGGAAGAAGGACTGGCTCCTTGGTACCCTGTACTTTCTGTAATCTTCGATATTCTGTGTACCGGTTCTGCACCCTCGGACATTGGGCCCTGGTACCCCTGGGCCTCGGTACCCCTGGGCCCCGGCACCCTGGTACCCTTGGGCCCCTGTACCCCAGGGCCCCGGTACCCCGGTACCCCGGTACCTCGGTACCCCTGGGCCCCGGTACCCTGGTACCCTTAGGCACCTGGGCCCCGGCACCCTGGTACCCCTAGGCCCCGGTACCCTGGCACCCCTAGGCCCTGGGCCCCGATACCCTGGTACCCTTAGGCCCCTGGGCCCCTGTTACCTGGGGTCCGCATGTTGCCTGGGCTCCACATGTTACCTGGGGTCCACCTGTCACCTGAGGTCCACCGGTCACCTGGGTCCACCTGTTGTCTGGGTCAACCTGTTGCCTGGGGTCCACCGGTCACCTGGGTCCACCTGTTCTCTGGGACCCACCTGTTACCTGGGGTCAACTTAAGCTGTCCTAGCAGCACTGGTCCTTTGGTCTTTAGTGTAGGGCATCCTAGTATCTTCTCCGAACTCGGGACCTTGGACCAGTTCGGCACCCTGGTCACTCCCTGTCACTCATTCAAGAGAGTGACCGAGATCTTTCCCGCCAGTTATTATAATAACTACGAAGAGCCCCCCATTTCTCTGGCACTTCTCCACACTTTCTATTGGCTAAAATTCAACCAATCAGAAACCTGGACTTTCGCTGGTTGTCCACGCGTCACCGTTTCGTGAGCTCGCTGTTCCTGTTTCGCGCCCCTCGCTCGGGACTTCAGCAGCGCCGCACCACTCGGTCCCAGTGGCATCCTGGTTACATAGCTAGTAGCAGATGAACCTTGCGACGAGTGCTAAGCCGTGACTTGTACAGTAGAACTTGGGTCGTTTTGAGCGGTAGTCACTTGCGCCCCTAGTCTTCCTCCGGTCACAATCCCGTTAAAGTGTTCCTGCGGTCCTTGACGCGCTTGCAAAAATCTTGCCATTGCCGCGTCGATAGGGTCTGTAGATTACCTACCGGGCTTCCCTCCTCCTGTACGGCGACTTGAGAACGCGCATGTCTTCACCACGTCAATCACGTAGGCCGTTCTTCTTGTCCTTGTTAGGTAGTCCGTGGCCAACCTGGGTCACTCCATCTGTGGTTTTAATCTTCGATACAATTGAGCTGCATTCTTGAGTGACCCGGGTCTATCGAAGATGGAACGAGGTCTACCGATGAGGGACCCAGGTCTACCTTCAAGGGACCGGGTGTACCGACGAGGGGCCGAGGTCGACCGATGAGGGACCAAGTCTACCAACGAGGGGCCGAGGTCGACCGATGATGGACCGGGTCGATCGACGAGGGGCCCAGGTCGACCGACGAAGGACCGTGGCCAACCATCCAAGGGGATTTCTATTGGCTGAAAATCCAACCTATCAGAAACCTGGATTTTCGCTGGTTGTCCACGCGTCACCGTTTCGTGAGCTCGCTGTTCCTGCTTCGCGCCCCTCGCTCGGGACTTCAGCAGCGCCGCACCTGTCGTTCCCTTGGGTATACTAGTGACTTCCCCAGTCGAAGAAGATTCTGGTGACCCATGACCTGCTGTAATCTGGTCGCTTGACGGCAGGTGTTGCGATGGATCTTGCTTCGCCCATAAGTGTCCGGTGTCCCCACAAATGGGGGGGTGGACCGCGATGTCTTGGAGCGATATCTAGCTGTCCATGGACGGTGCTTGCATGTGAGTCGTCGGAGGTAAGTTCCCCTATGATGAAGTAGGATCGACAGACGCTTGTGTATATTCTCTAACGTCGTTGTGATTCTGTCGATTCCAGGAATAGCAGGTCGTCCGAGTCGAACCGCCCTGCGACCATGTTCGCTTGACGAAGAAGGGTGACCAGCGCAGTGATCGCGTCTGTAACGGTCTGCAGCCGTGGTAGGGTCGACACCGGCCCAGTAAGTTGACCCGGCAGCCGGATCTCCAGGATCTTCGCGACGGGGTCGCTCTCCAGGAACGCGTTCAGCTTGCGTTGGTGGTAGGCCCTCGTGACGTCTGTGTCTGACTATGATGCCAGTCATAACTTTTCGGGGCCTATCGACTTGGTGTTTCCGGGTGCCTTCATCCGGAACTTTGTCGGCTTGGATTGCGCGATCTTTGTTTGTTGTTTTTTTGGGGACCTTAGCCTCTCGGTTTTCACCGTCGGCTGATGGTCCTCTGGATCATGATAGACATCATGACCCAAGGTGTCCTGTACGAGGACATAGGGAGGGTATTTAGGTTTCTCTTCGATAATTTCAACCTCGACCATGATGACCAGGCCCTTCCCAAGGTCCGGTCGGTCCTTCGATCCTTTGTTTTTTTCTTCTTGAGTCACTGGCGATCGGTCTTCCAGTGGCTCTTCGGTCTTGTTCTCCTTCTTGACTTGAACATCTTCATCTTCTAAGGACTCGCAGTGAAATCCCGCGTCTTCCGAAGATCCGGGCACGCGCACCATTGTGGTGGAGTGGGTTCTCAAAGTTGTATGATGAGACCCCAAACCACTCACTGTGCCGGACTGCCGACTGTCGGAGGGGGTACCCCGATGCCGCGTATGAACCTTCTCTCACCTTGTGTACCCGTCGGCTGGCGGTTTGCACTCTTCGGAGGACTTGGTGACGATGTAGATGTCTGCCTTGAGGGAGGTAGACCTGGGGGGCCTCGAGTGGATATGCTTCACTCGGTAGGCCGGTAGGTGGCCACTCGATCGACCTTGTCGAGAGTGGACATAAAGCCAAATTCTTCAGGGAGCTTGTCGTCCCTGGCCTTTTCCTTCTGTTTCAGGGGTATCAACCACCTGACCTTTACGTTGCTCCCGGACCTTGAGGTGAGGGAGACCGCTTCCGATAGCGGGTCTTGGGGGGTGTTGCTACTCGAACGAGCTCACAGGCCAAATATATCCTGGAGCTCTATTCGCACTTGAACTTCGCTACACAACTGTCTTCGACGGGGGGACAAAATATCCCTTCCCGGAACAGTGAGTAGCTTAGAGCAAGTTCTTCTTGGGTGACGGAGTCGTGCCACGTGGGGTTCAGCTCGCACTTGTGTCGGACCACACGCCTGTCTACAACGGGGGGGGGGGGGCCAAATATATCCCTTCCCCGGAACAGGCGTGTGGCCAGACTAGAGTTCCTTTACAGCGCGACGAAGACTTGCCAAGTAGATCGCAAATTGAGTAGTATTTGATATAGTCCTATCCTTTTAACTCCCTTACTCTATCCTTGCCTGAAGCTCTGATTCCTTGCGTCGACTGGTCTGATCCTTGTATTAACTGGCCAGGAGTGGCTGAACCCCGAGGGGCCGAGGTCGACCAATGAGGGACCCAGGTCGACCAGCGAGGGACCGGGTCTACCAATGAGGGACCCAGGTCTACCAACGAGGGGCCGGGTCGACCAATGAGGGACGGGGTCGACCGACGAGGGACCCAGGTCTACCGATGAGGGACCTGGTCGACCAATGAGGGACCCAGGTCTACCGATGAAGGACCTGGTCGACCAATGAGGGACCCAGGTCTACCGATGAGGGACCTGTTCGACCAATTAGGGACCGGGTCGACCAATGAGGGCCATGGTCGACCCCTTTCGCTACCGGTTAAACAGTACCCTGGTAATGACCTGTACTTTGTTTGTCTTTCACATTCTCAGCCAACGGTCGCTTCACTCCGAGGTTCCCTTTTTCTACGGTCTCTTCTCTCTGGTGCGTGGTCCCTTCTACCTAGTTTACGGCCCTTGTCCCTTCAATCCAACTGGCCTTTGGGTTCTTCACAATTTAGGAAAGTACTTCACCACATAACTAAATGACATTAACGATTAGTTACTGTAAGTGATTAGTTGTGGGTCTTTTTAGGCTCTTGGGTGCTTCTCTTGACAACCTTCGGTCCGGGTTTCGAAGACTTTGTTGACTTGGCGGTCGTTTGTTGGCGGGCGATTACGATTTTGTACCCCGGCGGCTCAGAATAAGGAACACGGACGGTGCTTTTGTGCTTAGCGATCTCGCGTGAGATGCGCAGGCTTACAGTACTCTAGAAGCTGAGCAAGTCACTGGCGTGCCCGAGTAGGCGAGCCTTTATGTGTTTGCGCATGTCGGCGCGTTGAACCGTGTTCAGGTGTTTCTCAAAGCGGCAAAGAATGCGGCTGGTGCGGCGGATCGATTCCAGCCGATCCTCACGGCACTTGTCAGCTGCGTCTGGCTTCTTCACGAACAGCTGGGCCAGCGAGTCGTTGATGTGGAGTTTCGTGGGTTGCTTGCGCGGGTGACGGGTCATGAACCGAAGTACTGACCTCCTGTTAACCAAACTGACTTATTACCGGAACGAGACGATTTACAGCCAATAAAGACTTCGATCTCGATAACGATGGCAGTAGTAATGGCCCAGTAGGATTTACAGCCAATGAAAAGGAGTCCCTGCCCTCAAGAAGATTGGGACTTACGAATGGGCTCTCCTAATCACTGCTCTTGAGCGGCGACGGCGTAGCTCAAAGGATGGCGAGCACGGCGGGAACGACGGTGCTGAAGGGACGGCGAGCACGGCAGGTACGGCGGTGCTGCAGGGATGGCGAGCACGACAAGCACGACGGGGACGGCGGTGACGGCGGGGACGGCGAGGACGGCGGGGACGGCGGGGACGGCGAGGACGGCGGGGACGGCGGTGACGGCGGGGACGGCGAGGACGGCGGGGACGGCGAGGACGGCGGGGACGGCGAGGACGGCGGGGACGGCGGTGACGGCGGTGACGGCGGTGACGGCGGGGACGAGGACCAACAAGTGCTACCAGATGTAAGGACTTATGGTTTACTCGGTATATTTGAAACTGAAAATTTACGTAGGTCCTCAGTTCGCTAACCGGTGCTACCTCTAAGCCTACTCATCTAATTCCTTCTAGAAGCTTCGTAGTGACGTCATCTAATGAAGCGAGACTGTGACGTCATCTAGTGACGCCAGACTGTGGCGTCATGGCCTATCCGCTATGTGCAACCCTAACACACGCTCTGTCGCACCGCACGTACCTTGCGACCTGACAACTATCGTTTGTCACCAACATTACAGGCAGCGTTAGTGCACTGTGTTCACCAGCGTTAGCCTCGAGCGGCGGGATATGGTTGCATCAGACACCAAGTAAGGTTCAACGAAGTCAAGTCACGACACAACTGGTATACACCTTCACCGCAAGTCACCAAAGCTGAATTCCAGCAGCTTGTGCGTTTCCAAATGGAGCTTCCAGGTCAGCATCAGAACAAATGTCATACACGGCTCTGGTTCCTGCCGACCGACGTTTATTGTAAACTGTGTTTTACAGGTCTCATAATTACAGCGAATGTGGCAGTCGTCAGCATGCTGTCCGCGTGACGATGGAGCACTGAGAACGTCTTTAGTTCTAGCGACGCAGGGCTTTGTACTTCTATAACATTCGCTGACGCAAGATATACTTCCTCCGAGAAGCCATCCAACAAGGAGAAAACAAAGGCCTTCGAATGCAATGTCAAAAGAAGATTCGCCTGTGCTGTAGATCGCCCTCTTTCGAGTCTTGGCTCTTCCAGGAGACTACACTCCAGATCCTTCTCAGCATTCTTCACCACTCGCGTGTTTTCGTCGACCATGGCTTGTAGAGTCAACTCCACGACGAGCTGTTTCTCGCCTTCAGGAGACATTCACATGGTAATGGGGTCCAGGAAGCCAGCACAGCAGCTTTCACTGACGCCCGATCATGAAGCCATTGTAAAATCTGACACTGTCCATACATAACTGCAGCAGTCAATGCTGCCTGCATCCACGACGTATAAGCCACCACCACCACCGTTTCCATCACATATTTCACAACGTGCAAGAGTCCTCCTGCAATCACATTTTCCAGAGTCCTGAACGTTTTGATCTCGTAATATCGTAAGTTATTGAGCCATTGGACGACTTTCAAATGTCCGTGTAAAGCCGCTTTTTCCAGCCCTCGTCGAGTACATCGGTTGCCCAATACACAGTCTAGAAATTGCACCACTTTCATCTGATTCTGTGCTAATGCGTCATCCATGACATTCCATCCGAAAGCATGCGGACCTTTCATGTTGCAATACCATTGGACCAAATCCAAACGACCATTGCCTGCTGCATGAGCTACTGCATCTTGACTATCCATTGCTGCATCATCGACCATTTTAGTACTAGATTCAGTATGAAGATATTGTACCATTTCAAGATTTCCACTATATAAAGCTGCCCGTTCGACTCCATGAAATTTGCCTTTTGGATAATATTTCGAACGTAACCATCGTATACCGGTAAAAAAACCCTCGTGCCGCCGCGTGATTTAACGCTGTTTCAAACTGATATTGTTTATAACGTCGTGTTAATTCAGACCACCAATGACAGACTTTATCCTTTCACGAACTGCCGCATGTTCTAACAGTGTTAGAGACTGTGATGTTAGTGGTTGATTTTGTGCTGCAATGGCAACAGAGAGAACCTTGGAGACGTCCAGAAAAGCCTTGAGGTGACTGATGACGTGACCAAGTGCTTGGATTTGAGGATACGCACGCAAAAAGACGTCAGCGCAGAGAAAAGAGGAACAAGAAGAGGACATAGCAGTCATTGGGCGTGTTTATGATAAATGCATTGGGAGGAGGAGAGCGTGCAATCATTTGAATACAGCGACCCCTCATTGGTGTGACAGCAACTTCAATTACTACTACATAAAGGTACATACTCAATGGTGTATAAACCTAAAACTCCTATCAAAGGCCCTAATTTTCAGTAATTGTAGAGCAAAGGGGTTTGACACATTGCGACCACGACTCCAAGATTTAATAACCTTTAAGAGGTTTGTCTTGTATAAATGTGCAGTGTTTACCGTTCGACAACACACAAATGATCGATTACTCACCGTCCCCGCGCAGACTGGTTTACCACTCACTTCAGGACCTGAAGGTCACGGGTTCGATACCCACGGCCGACAAATCCTCAAGTATAATGGAGGTGGGCTTAACTGTGCATCCGTGTACGTACTAGGTGCGTCGCCGTTAGATACCTACCAATCCAATTGGAAGGTGAAGCCTAGTGAAATATTACAAAAGATCGATCTCTTATAAGATACAACATCGAGCTTAAGCCGCAAGTACTTTTAGGGTACCCGGAATATCTTGTGCGCATGCCATTTCAGTGTCGTCGAGTAATTTCGACGACAAAATTCTGGCATTCAGCTTAGCAAGTCGTATACACATCACTGTCGGACTGTACAGTCGGCTCAAATGTAGGCCGACGTGGGAGGTCATCGGCGACGACATTATGTCGCCTCTGTTTATCCTCCACGGAAAAGCTGTGCTCCAAGAAGAACGACAGTCATCTCGCCATTCGTTGCGAGAGGTGTGGACTGTTTACAGCCGTGCGTAGTGACGCATGGTCTGTATACACAATGAACGGTCTATCTCCTAAAATATAGACGCAAAACCTATTCAGTGCGTATTCCATGGAAAGGACTTCCTTGTCATGCACCGGGTAGTTGCGCTCAGCTGGTTGCAGCTGACGAGATAGGGATAGCAGACGACGCGCTCTGCGACATCTGTGTCATACTGCATCAGTACACAACCGAATGCAAAATCGCTTGCGTCACAGACCACATGAAATGGTCTGTACTGATCTGCTATCGCCAATACCGGCGATTGCATCATGATTTGCTTAATACATTCAAACGAATGCTCGAAGTCAGCGTTCCAATTACACTTTACATTTTCTTTTGCAAACAAAAAATGTGCGGTCATCTCGGCGTAGTTACGCGAGTACTTATGCAAGGACTTCGCTAGTCCAACGAGCTTCCTTAGTCCCTTGACATCGACTGGCACTGGCCAGTCGGTGATCACCTTGATATTTTCTGGATCAGGGCGTACGCCGTTCTTTCCGACGATGCACCCAAGAAGTGGTGTTTCGCTATCTGCGAATACACACTTCTTGAGGTTGGCGTACAACTTATGCTCGCGCATAAGTATAAGAACCTTACGGACGTGGAGTCTATGGACTTCCACGTCTGTTTTCCCGTCCATAGCCCGGCTATGGATGAACACATCATCGAAGTAACTCGGTCCGAATTCGCGCACCGGTCTCAATAGATGTGTTTCACATCTATTGAATGTGGCTGGTGCATTACTAATCCCTTGCGGCATCACCAACCATTCTCAGAGCATACCACTGGGAGTGCTCACTGCTGTGTACGGGATGTCCCGTTCACGCATTAGGATCTGATAGAAACCATCCATCAGATCCATGGACGAAAAGATGGTACTCTAGACATACCATCTATGATTACGTCCTTTCTCTGTATCGGCGTTTGCGCCGGTATTGTTGCAGCTTTCAACTTGTTGAAAGCGTGTACTATCCGCCACCCTCCTGTGGCCTTGCGCACACAGAAGGTCAGAGAGGTGTGAGGTGAAGTTGACTCCCTCACATGGACCGCTGATAGGCGATCGGCAAAGAACTTGTCGATCGCCTCGACCTGTTCCCGAGGCAGTGGCCACTGCTTCATGACACAATATTTTGTGCCTGGAACTAGGTCGATCTCGTGTCGAGTACCTTTTTCCTTAGGCAACTCGCACGGAACGGATTCAGGGAATACATCCTTATATTCGACCAAATATTGATACGAAAGTTTTGACTTCAGCGACTCCCAGGTTTGCGATGTATGTCGCTCAATCCGAGTCTTCTAATAAAGGACACTTTCGTCCATTGATGAGCTGCTGAGAACCCGTTCGTTCTCGGCAATAACTGTTGCTGACCGAATGTCAGTCATGTACTCGTCCTCTGCGACGAGCACACAGATCTGCTTGACTTTGCCACTACGCAGATCACGCAAGAACCTTTAGGTTATAGCGTAGGCAACTGAGTTATCTCCGAGGTGCAACACACAAGCGCCTACGTTTGATCCGTCATTAACCAAGACGTTCAACGTCTCGGTTACTTCCTGTGGACTTATTTACTCAGGCTCGATAAAACTTGTTCCATCGACTCTATCTCTCCTGTGGCTGCGCAACCACAGCAAGATCCTCTACGATCAACTCTCCAATTGATCTAAAATTACCGTGATGCCGCTTCTGGGTAACAGATTTGCTCTTCTGTGAATGCTGCCCTCTAGGCGAGCATTCATGTCCCGGTCCACTCGACTTACTCGAGTGGTGGACCTTCGGCGCTGCCTGTTCTTGTGCACAGCCGCCGGCAGCTTGCTCCACAGTGTGACTGTCTGTCACGCTGAGTTCTTGTGCAGTCGTACTAACGACCGAACCACAAGTGAGGCCATCGCACTCTTTCGTAATACATTCGAACGATTGTGAGCGCTCCAAGACGTTCATCAGATGGCCATCTGATGAACAAGCGGCAGGCATCTTCACGGTTCGATGCTGCCAGCTGACCCATGGCTCATACCTTTTGAGCCATGGTTATTCTAGGATGACATCAAATTTGTCATCCAGATCAAGTACGATGAAATCATCATCGTACTTTTTGCCTTCAAGCGTGTAGTGAATTCCCACTACACGTTTCTTTACTGTTACGGATGCGCCAGTTGCAAGGCGCACCGTCATCCTCGTTGGAGGGGTCTCGCGCTCAACATATTTGAGCCTACGATCATCTAGCGATTGGCGTCGAAAAGAGTTGTTCGACGCCCCAAAATCAACTAGGGCGCGAAGTGACATGTTCTTTGTCACTTCGATCTTCAAGATGATGAGGGATACCACATCACTAGGAGCAGCAACACACAGTGACTGTGTGTTGGGAGCAACCTTCGTCAAGAGTCCCGCAACTCTCTTGACGTTGCTGGATCAGTAAAGCGCTGAACCCGACCATAATTGATGGTCCACCACGTTGTTGTGATTTTGCAGCAGCGTGGGACCCACGTCTCTGGGCCTTCATATGTAATTAATATATTATTCCTATAACTTCTTATGTTATAGGTTGCTCCATTGCATCCGCTCTCCTGTCGTCTCGGTGAACGACAGGATCCCGAGTGGACATGAGCTTTGTAACGGGGTGTACCGTTACACAAGTAGCCATAATTAGATTCCTTTTCCATAAGTAGTTAAATGCTACACCTGAGATAGCAGGTGTAGCCATTCGTATTTCTATTCACAGGTAAGTAAGAATCATTCTCATTATCAGCCAAAAGGAGAATAGATCTGTAGTTTAGTGGATTTCATGCGTTTAGAGACTACTCGTACGTAGTTTAGAAACGAAAATTTACATTGGAAGCTGAAATTAACCTTCAGCTTGCCGATGTTTCGGCCATACACTGTGCCGCTTGCCATTCGAGACCACTCAAATGGAAAAAGTCATCACGCACTTCATCGCTTTTTTATTGCGGATAATACGGTGGTTGTTAAACGGACCCCAAAGTGCTACCAGATGTAGTGTGGACACCCTCCAATTATACTTTTAGAGCATAATCTACCTTCGCTGATGACAGTGAAAGCAGGTGCCTCAAAACTTCACGTACACGTGCACAGAGGAAGTCTTATTAAAATGGGGTTGAGAAAAAAGAGAAATAAATATTTATCTAATTAAACTAGTTTATTATAATTTTTGTGTAAAATATACTAACTACAACTTTGTATGTTGACAATTTGCCCTTCACTCCTTGCAAACGTCCATTGGTCATTGGTCAGCGCGTTGGTTGATATAATGGCCTAAATCAACCAATTAGAGGACATATCTGTCTTCTTGGGGATGCAAGAACAATATTATAAGTAGATATAATGTTAAGATATATCGTTATTATAGTAATATTCTTATTGACACTTCATAGAAGTGTCAATATTATGTAACAAAATCACCCCGTTACATTGCCCAATAAGTATTTTACACATAACGGATACGTGTAACGTTTGGCCCGTTGCACCTCCCCTATTCAAAAAATTTAAGTTTGTAAAACATCGCAAAGAAGACATGCCACCGCAATGTGGTAAAGCTGATGGGTCGCCTGCTAAGGCGCCCATGTAGACCAACACAAAGCGCACGCGCAGCGATAATTCGCAGGCGTCGCAAAGTTTCTCTGTCACAACACCGGCATACAATGTCAGCTTGTTCGCAGAGAAAAACGAGTCATCACACCATGCAAATGATGATCTGTTTCTCTTTGTAGACTACAAGGAGATCACGCCACTACCATCACCACAAGGTAGTATTGAGCACAGTGTATAAATGGAGCAGATGTCCCCTCCAATAACCTTCAAAAACTTTCATGCTTTCGGACAGTGTGGTCATGCCCCATCGTCTGCGCCAACAAGCGCAGCGACCTATACTAAGCATGCTACTTTGACAGAATTAGCCGCGGCCTAACATCAGGTCGGCGATTCCAAATCGTCCGCCTCTGCTAACTCCACGTCTGCAGTCTTGCAATGTGGTGGAGTGGATTCTCAAACGACGTAAGAGAACCACAAACGCACACAGCGCCGGACTGCCTACTATGGGACGGGGTCCCCCGATACCGTGTCGCGTGAACCTTGAGTCTCACTTTGTGTTCCCGTCGGCTTGGCAGGTCTTGCTCCTCGCTAATACAAAGGATTCTACAACTTGGTCGTTGTATAAACTTGAACTTTGTGGGCCCACGAGTGG